CAGCCACTGCACTCCAGTCTGGGTGACAGACTGAGACTCCAACTCAAAACAAAAACAAAAAACAACAACAAAAAAAAACTTTTAAGCACTGGAGAAAGTGTCTTGATATATAGAATGTATATATAGAGAGATATATATAGAATACTTATGTGTATATATAAAGAATATGTTTATAGCAATGTAGAATGCATATGTATATACAAGGGAAGACCCCTCCCAAAAAAGGAATTTATTGATTTAGAAATTGCATATTTATTCTTACATATTTAAACTTCAGTCACCTTCAAAGTACTCTCTGTTTGATGCAGTACATCTATCGAGATGCTGTTTTTGTTTTTGTTTCTGTTTATAATGAATTCTGGATTTGGGATCTGGATTAAGAAGGCCTCTTCCTCCTGAAAAAGCTATAAATATTCCTATATTTTATTTTATATAGCAAAGTTTTTCCTTTTTATTTTTAGCACATTTTGCTTGGCATGATGCCCCATGCCGCAATCCAAGCACTTTGGGAAGCAGATGTGAGAGAATTTTCTGAGCCCAGGGGTTCGAGACCAACCTGGGAAACTTGGCGAGACCTCGTCTCTACAATAAGTCAAAAAATTAGCCGGGCATGGTGGCGCACGTCTGTGATTCCAGCTACTTGCACGGCTGAGGTGGAAGGATCACCTGAGCCCAGCAGGTCAAGGCTGCGGTGGCTGTGAGTGTGCCACTGCCCTCCAGCCTGGGCAATGCAGTGAGATTCCGACTCAAAAAAAAAGTATATATATATATATACTTTATATGCAGATAAAATGTAGTTAGGCACTCTGTATAAAGTAGAGATCTACCTTTGTTTCTTACAAATGTAAAGCTTGCTGTCCTGACATCATTTTAGTAAATGATTTGGCCTGCCTTCTATTTTCCTGTAACAGAAAAATAAAGAGTACCTTTTAAACAGAATAGACAAAATTTCCTGTAGGACAGATTGGAGAACCAAAGGAAAAATATAAAAGTCCCTTACCCTGCTTCATGTGGCAATGAAACAACAGACTCTACAGCTTGAGAATCCACCTCCAAATTCTGGACTCTTGTTCATGATTTTTTATCTTCTTCTATGAGAATGATGGGTTTTTTAAATTGTCAACCAAATCAAAGGAGAGTAACATCTTTGTTCTTTGGCCTACCTCTCCCCCTATAGGAAATGTCATGACCTTGAAGTTTCTGAGTGATGCTTCAGTGACAGCAGGAGGTTTTCAAATCAAATATGTTGCAGTGGAGCCTGTATCCAAATCCAGTCAAGGAAAAAATACAACTACATCTACTGGAAATAAAAACTTCTTAGCTGGAAGATTTAGTCATATATAAAAATTTTTTTAAAGGGATAATCAAAGTATGCAGTGATTATGTTTGTATCTTTTGAGACGCCTTTGATCTCACTTTTATATTATTATTATTAACATTTATTTATTATTTTCCTAAATGTGAAAACAATACCTAATTTAGGGGAGAATTGAAAAAAGAAGAAAATGTTAAATGAGGAGATAAAATCTATTATAATCCCAATGCATAGAAATAGCAAGCATTAACATCTGTATTATTTTTCTTTCAGTTATTTTTCTATTTGTGGTATATGTATATATGTATCTATATGTATTTGTATTTGAAATTTTGTAATTCTGCTCTATGTACAGTTTTATATCCTGGTTTTTTAACCATGAACTTTATAGTTTAAGTATTTTCCCAAATCACTGAGTATTGTACAAAAACATGATTTCAAACAGCTGTAAAATATTCTGTGGTATGATTGGTTCGTGTTATTTAATCCTGTCTCTTGGAATTTCAGGTTGTTTCGTAAATATTACTGCAATAAATATTCTTGAACACACATATGTGTGCAGCTCTGTAATTATTTGGGACAGGGTCCTAGAAGTAGAATTACTAGATCAAAGGTTAACTAAAACATAATTTTCTTTTGTGATAGACAAAAATGAGACTGTGCTTTCTTCTGTGAATTCTTTTTTCATGCCTTTTCTTGCACCTTTTTTTTTTTGAATCTCATTCTGTTGCCCAGACTGGAGTGCAGTGGTTGCTCCCGGCCACCGCAGCCTCGACCTGCTGGGCTCTGGCGATCCTTCCTCCTCAGCCTTCCCAGTAGCTGGAATTACAGGCCTGCT